TTCTTCCTAGCTTTTCGGCATGGTGGTTGAAGCGCATCCAAAAAAACTTGGGAGAATTCTAAATGTTCCAAACTTTTAGAGTATTCACTATCTTACGGTTTTTGTTTTAAACAAGGTTTATAAACATAGCAGGTTTTTACTAAGTAGGTCACAAGAAGATCTGGATTTTGATCAAATTTGAGATATAATTTTTTTCTTCCCAATGTTTGTGGTTTGCTTTATCTTTGAAACAAAATAATAATAATAATAATAATAAGAAACCAAAATAAGGTGAACATATCATTACCCCAGAGAACAACGTTGATATAATCATGTCTTCGCTGATCACACTATTTTGTCTCATGTAACTCCTATGCAGTTTCAACTTTTAGTGCATGTTTCTGTGTTAATATACAGCTATTTGGCTAAGCAATTGTCAAGTGTGCTCTTTTTTCCCAGGATTCTTCGCCAACATCTTTTATTTGGTTAGTGTAATACTCAAAAGTAGTATGGAGATACTACAATATGGAATTTAAGTACAGGCTCTCCTTATCTTCAGAAGATAAATAACAAATGCCAAAGGTGAAAGGTCAATGGAAGGGATTTGACAGCAATGAATATGGATCTTCTGGCTATGATAATTCTGGTGAAAAGGTTGAAGCCAATAGTTTAAAGCGTAGAAAGATCACAAAAAAACATCTTTGTGAGATTAATGATCTCAAGTAAGTAGTAACATCCAAAAGTGAGATATGTACAAGTTCAAGTCATAGGTAATTACATAAAATTTATAAATCTCATTCGAAACTCTATTGTGATACAGATGCTATACTTGAAACTCTTATTCTTTTTCTTACTTAGGGGTATTTTTTGTTGTTGTGGCTAATAGTCTACTCTCACTTTCATCCTTTTAAGTCAATCAAGTTAAATACATTTTGTTGCAGGCTTGGACAAAACTCCAGATCCGTATAAAGTTGGCAAAGGAACTACTAATATCCTGCCTGAGTTCTTGAATTTGTACGACGATACCAGAAGCTATATGATTTTTCTGAAAAAAGAGGTCATGTCAATTAATATCAAGGAAAACTGAAAGATCTCAAAGTTGGGCATATTCCATATTCCAAGTTTCTTAACTCTATTGAGAGCATCATCAGATTTGACTGCCTTTATTAGCTGCGAAAAGGTATTCTCATTAGTATTTAAAATACTCCGTAGAACTCTTTCATCACATACATTAGCATATATTTACACGACTTCTAAATAAATATATTAGCTTCGGGCTGTTAGTGTAAGACTGTAAGCATAATATGTATGTATGTATGTATGTATGTATGTATGTATGTATGTATGTATGTATGTATGTATGTATGTATGTATGTATGTATGTATGTATGTACGTATGTATGTA